AAATATAAAAAATGCAAAACACACCTGATGCGAATTCTTTGCTCTTCATTTTCTATAAGCAGAGTTAACAGACCCTGTTGTATTTTCTTGTAATTTATTAAAATTAGGTACACCGCCATCTTGTGCCGACTAAACTGACTTGAACGCAGCTGACGTCGTAATTACGACTTGTCAACTCGTAAGTACGAACGTCCCAGGAGGACTTGAACACAGCATAAGTCACGGTTGGGAGATAAAATATAAACTTTATAAATTCACAATTACAAAAAAGAAAGTCAGAATTACCTAAAAGCAGCCAAGTTGAGATGTACTTCACTGCTCACTTTATCTCGATAAAGGCCTAATTATAAGACACTATTGGTTGTGGAAGTAAAATTTATATTGCTGACAAATAAGATATTTATGCAATGGTGTGACAAACTAAAAAGCTTTCCTTTGGCAAGATGTTGCATCAGTGTCAATAAGTATCAGTACAATCCAAACCACTTTTGTATGGGCCTGCAACATTAAAACAAATTTGCATACTGCACCTTCAAATTAATTTCTATTATGCAAAATCAACAAATATGATTTTATGCTAATATGGAAAGCTAAATATACCTATTACTTATAGGTCTAAAGAGTTGCCTTATTGACAAACTATTTGATGTGAATGGAGATTTCCCTGTGCAGCATTCACTACTACATCATTTACTTTTCACCTCTTGTTTCTTGCTGTGAAAGCTGAAGCAGGCTCTATCCTGAGATAAACATCTGATTCATGAGTGGATGTAGTCCTGGCAGAGAGTTTGCACTAAATTCTTTTTGTAGTGACATTGAAGAGATTGCCTTCTCTTGAACCTCCATAAAGCTTTGTCAGAAGCCTAGTTATGCTTTATGGCAAAAGATAGCAATGAAACATAGAGGGAAGATGATGTATTAAACAATCAACAGTCCGAGCTAAATTACATGCGTATGTCTTTACTGGCACCTTCAATTTATGATCGTCTCATTGAATGGTTCCCCAGATGTTCATTTTCATCACCATGGTTTATAGAAATTGAATTTTTTAAAATTCTCTTATATGATGAAGTAATAGTACTGATAATTATGATGATTAATGTTAAAGGGGTCATATGATGCTATTTTAAAGATCATTATTTTGTGTATTTGGTGTAACAGAATATGTTGACATGCTTTAATGTTCAAAAAACACATTCTTTTTCAAATACTGTACATTATTGTAGGTCCTCTATGCCCCGCCTCTCTCAAACGCTTCGTTTTCTACAAAGTCCCTCCTTCCGACAAGCGCAGTCTGCTCTGATTGGCCAGCTGACCCAGTGCATTGTGATTGGCCGAACACCGCAAGCACTCGTCGGAAATGTAATGCCCCTTACCATAATCGCGAGCTTCATCTTTCAAAAAAAAAAGAAAAAACAGAGCCCGAAAGGGGAACAGAGTCGCGTGACAGACACAGTAATGATGCAGTACACAAGCCGCAGTTAAGACAGCTGACTCTACTGTGATGTGACCCTGTCTCTCCCTCTCTCTCTCTCACACACACACACACACACACACACACACACACAACGCGATACTCTACACTGCGCAAAACTCCGCATTTGAACAGTCAATAGCAAATACTTAAACTAATAACAAAACAGTAGCTGATTCAGAAGCGCCAGATTGTCATAGCAAAGTCAGAATTACCCCATCTCCTAGGTTCACGAAACGGTCGTCCATAAAATGCATTGCTGTTCTGTTGTAAGTAATCTTAAAGATTCCTAAATGCATCTACTTTCGGAAGGCCAAATAAAGTGCTTTTGCTTTCGCCTAGAAACACACAGCGTCTCCCTGACATAGCTGCTTCAACACTAACTGCGTTACTGAAACCACGCCTTCTTTCTTTGCGTGCACATTTGGGCGCATTATGCAAATATTCCCACATAGTGACCTAGATATGTGGGGGCGTGTTAGAACGAGCCGTTTTAGGGGGGCGTGGCAGAGTCTTAACTTTGATAAAGAATATCTCTTTGGTTTTGAGACTTTAGTCTTTGCAACTTCAGGGATCCTATCTATGCACAATCAGCTTGTAACACTCCAAAGAGAAAGGAAAACTTGAAATCGCATCATATGACCCCTTTAAGTATTTATATAGTTATTGTTATGACTTTAAGGGCTCTCAGATGTGGTGCTGAAAAAACTGTTTTATTACCCTCCTGTGAAAATGTTCCATATCAGTCAGTTCATTTCTGTTCACAGGGATATTCAAAAGCACCTGCTACATCGATGTTCGCTGGTTCCCCTTTGATCTTCAGAGGTGTGATTTGAAGTTTGGCTCCTGGGGGATGGTCTCTGGATCTGCAGATGATTGATGCTGACATCACAGGATATATTGCAAATGGAGAGTGGGACCTTGTGGGTAGGGTTAATTTAATGTGCATTGTGAAGCCTTATGCTGTGCTGAAAATTCTTTACCTAATTTGGTGTTCCTGGTCAAAAGTAACCAGCCTTTTGAAAATTGCTTGTAAATCACTCATAATGCTATATTATAACAAAATCTTTTATTCAATCTTTTTGTCAACTTGTTTCTTTCAATTCTTTCAAAAAGCTTATGCACCTTGGTTTTTGAGTGGGAAAAAAAAAAGCATTATTTCTGGATAATTTTAATAAATTAATTTAATTTTAATTAATGTCAAATTGTTAGTTTTACTTTAAAATACATTAATTTGATGTGACTAACATATAAAGTGTGGTTAACTGTAGTGCGGTATTCAATATTATGTTTAATATATTTAAATCCACTAATGAATACATGTAGAAATTACATTAATATATTTTTGTTTACCATAAATGCTTGTCATTCAGCAGTATTCTATAACCATTCTTCAAAGACAATATAAGTAATTATGAAATTACATATAAAGATGTAGTTAAGTCCTTCTTAAGTGGGTTAAGAAATAAATCAAGAAAGTTCAGCTGCATTTAATTGAAATAAACCATATTTAATTTTAATTTAATTTACATTAACATCCAACTATGTG